CGAGGCAGGTGGATCACCTGAGATCAGGAGTTCAAGACCAGCCTGGCCAACATGGTGAAACCCCATCTCTACTAAAAATACAAAAAATTAGCTGGGCATCGTGGCACGCACCTGTAATCCCAGCTACTTGGGAGGCTGAGGCACAAGAATCGCTTGAACCCAGGAAGCGGACGTTGCAATTAGCCGAGATCATGCCACTGCACTCTAGCCTGGGCAACAGAGCAAGACTGTCTCAAAAAAAAAAAAAAAACAAAACATTTGTCAGTGATGTGTTGCTTCCATGAAAAGAACTTATGGTCAGGGTGAAAAGACTATGCTTTTTTGTACTCTTTGCATTTTTAACCAATGCTTATAATACCTTTTCAAAAGATAAAATGTTTTAAAAGTATCTCTTGTGCTGAGGGATTTTTTTTTTTTTTTTTTGAGACAGAGTCTGGCTCTGTCGCCCAGGCTGGAGTGCAGTGGCCGGATCTCAGCTCACTGCAAGCTCCGCCTCCCGGGTTTATGCCATTCTCCTGCCTCCGCCTCCCAAGTAGCTGGGACTACAGGCGCCCGCCACCTCGCCCGGCTAGTTTTTTTGTATTTTTTAGTAGAGACGGGGTTTCACCGTGTTAGCCAGGATGGTCTCGATCTCCTGACCTCGTGATCCGGCCGTCTCGGCCTCCCAAAGTGCTGGGATTACAGGCTTGAGCCACCGAGCCCGGCCGGGATTTCTTAAGTGTTTAACATAAGGCACTGCAAAACTTGAATTGCCATGGCTGAATTTGCAAAGGAGTAAGTCATAGTCTAATAATATCCATAGAGAAATACACAACCTATCTGATTTCATGAATATGTTAGGTGTCTTTATTTGCTTAACAATTAGCCATAATGGTCTTTTCTGAAACATTTTAACTCAGTAATCTTCAACCTGGGATGATTTTGTCCCTCAGGAGACATTTGGCAATAGAGACATCTATGGTTGTCACAACTAAGGGAGGATGCTACTGGCATCTAGTGGGTGAAGGCCACGTATGCTGCTCAACATTCTGTAACGCACAGAACAGGCCCCACAACGAGACTCAACCCAAAATGTCAGTGGCGCCAAGACTGAGGAACTCCACAACCCAAGGAACCATTGTGTTCAATTCTCAAAGTAACCAGGTTCTTCATTAAGTTATCAACAAAACATACCCCATATATTCTCCCAAGTAATTAATTTAAATCCTTAAGGATTGACAGACTAGAGGTTCAATAAATGTAGCCACTCATACAAAACTTAGCCTGGCGTGGTAGTACACACCTGTAATCTCAGTTACTGGGGGCGGGTGTGGGTGGGGAGGAACAGGGGATGGGGCAGGAGAATCGCTTGAACCTGGGAGGTGGAGGTTGCAGTGAACTGAGATTATGTCACTGCACTCCAACCTCCGTGAAAGGTGGTGGTGGCTCACACTTGTAATCCCAGCACTTTGGGAGGCCGAGGTGGGTGAATCACCTGAAGTCAGGAGTTCGAGACCAGCCTGGCCAACATGGTGAAACCCCATCTCTACTAAAAATACAAAACTTGGCCAGGCACAGTGGCAGGTGCCTGTAATCCCAGCAACTCGGAGGCTGAGGCAGGAGAAACACTTGAACTTGGAGGCAGAAGTTGTCCTGAGCCAAGATCTCGCCACTGCACTCCAGTTTGGGCAACAAAGTAAAAACTCTGTCTCAAAAATAAAATAAAACAGGCTTTTATTTCACACTCTGTGTAGTTATCAAATCTTTCCAATAAATTTTATATGTTTACATTTCAATTAAAATTCATTTGCCTTGCCCTACTACTTTGTACATTTTGAGCATGTTAATTCACATGCTTCAAATTTTTCAAAACATATTAAAAACAATCCCATTGTTTCTCATCAAGGCAGGAAAACTTAAATCTGCAGCTAAGTAACTTTACAATGAGGCCTGAAAAAATACAAATTAAATTGCTCTCTCCTCTATCTTAAAGTGTATTTTACTATGCCCCATCAGAAAGTCAATCATTAATAAAGAGTTTTGGGACGTTTTATTAATATTTGCATATACATTGTCAAAAAAAAAAAAGAGGGCAGAACGGAACCAAGTGACCATCAAAATCTAGAGCTGGTTCAAAAACGGATAGGAAATCGTTTTGACACATTGCTGCTGCTGACACTGTTATGTCTTATTTTACTTTATTAGTAATGCATAACTTCTTTTACACCTTTTAAATGTTTATCTTTTCCATTATGTAAGAATTCAGGCCGGGCGCGGTGGCTCAAGCCTGTAATCCCAGCACTTTGGGAGGCCGAGACGGGCGGATCACAAGGTCAGGAGATCGAGACCATCCTGGCTAACCCGGTGAAACCTCGTCTCTACTAAAAAATACAAAAAACTAGCCGGGCGAGGTGGCGGGCGCCTGTAGTCCCAGCTACTCGGAAGGCTGAGGCAGGAGAATGGCGTGAACCCGGGAGGCGGAGCTTGCAGTGAGCTGAGATCTGGCCACTGCACTCCAGCCTGGGCGGCAGAGCCAGACTCCGTCTCAAAAAAAAAAAAAAAAAAAAAAAAAAGAATTCAATGTTTTAATACCTAGTACCTCAAGTTGTTTAACAATCCACCACATAAAACTTATTCTGATTAAAGAATTGGGGAAATCTTAAATCCCTCCTCCAAACAAAAAAGTATACAGAAAAGGTGTTTATAAATGTCAAGATGCAGACGGGCGCGGTGCTCACGCCGGTAATCCCAACACTTTGGGAGGCCCAGGCGGGCGATCCCCAGGTCAGGAGTTGGAGATCAGCCTGGCCAGCATGGTAAAAACCCGCCTCTACCAAAAATACAAAAAATTAGCCGGGCGTGGTGGTGTGCGCCTGTAATCCCAGCTACTCGGGAGGCTGAGGCAGGAGAATCACTTGAACCCAGGAGGCGGAGGTTGCAGTGAGCCGAGATGACGCAACTGCACTCCAGCCTAGGTGATAGAGTGAGACTCTGCCTCAAAATAAAAAAAAAGATGCAATAAAGTTTTTTTTTTTTTTTGAGACAGAGTCTCGCTCTGTCGCCCAGGCTGGAGTGCATTGGAGCGATCTCGGCTCACTGCAAACTCCACCTCCGGGGTTCACGCCATTCTCCTGCCTCAGCCTCCCCAGTAGCTGGGACTACAGGCGCACACCACCACGCCCGGCTAATTTTTTGTATTTTTAGTAGAGACGGGGTTTCACTATGTTAGCCAGGATGATCTCAATCTCCTGACCTAATGATCCGCCCGCCTCGGCCTCCCAAAGTGCTGTGATTACAGGCATGAGCCACCGCGCCCGGCCCTTCTTTTTTTTTTTGAAGAGTCTCGCTCTGTTGCCCAGGCTGGAATGCAGTGGGGCGATCTCAACTCACTGCAGCGATGCCTCCCGGGTTCAAGCAATTCTCCTGTCTCAGCCTCCCGAGCAGCTGGGATTACAGGCGCCCTCCACCACGCCCGAATAATTTTTTGTATTTTTAGTAGTGACGGGTGTTTCGCCACATTGGCCAGGCTGGCCTTGAACTCCTGTCTTCAGGTGATCTGCCCGCCTCAGCTTCCCGAAGTGCTGGGATTACAAGCGTGAGCCACCGCGCCCGGCCTCAGTGCTTTTCCAGTACCTAATTTTGATGAGTATCCAGTGGTATCATTAGAACTTCTCCATTCACTGGAAGCGAACTCCCCCGAGCACCTAGAACTTTAATACTTGTCCAAACCTGCTTGCTCATGGTCTAATAATAAACCCAATTATACTATCTGTAAGAACCCCTGACAACCTTTTCCTTAAGAAGCTATAAAGGTGATTTAACGAACACCTCAAACTCTTAGTAAATGTATTTCAAAGGCAGATTTCATCACTCCAGTCTTTGGCTTCTGCTGAGGGCTGGAGGCTACTGGTTGTAGAGTGGGTAGGGGGAAGATCGCTTGAACTGAGAATGACACACGCCGGGCGTTGTACAGCAGGGGTAACTGCTGGTTCATTTCTCTTTAAATCTGGCAGCACGTGGGGCTGCATTGTGAAGCCACCAACCCGCCTCCCCCCTTCCACTCCGCACACGGACGTCTCCAGTGCGCATGCTCTGCGCACACAGTCCTAGCAGAGTAGGAGCCAACCCCCTAAAAAGTCAACCTGGAAGCCGCAAACGGCCGGAGGCCGGGACAATGGGGGAGGGGGGCCGCAGGCTCCTCGGAGAGGCCGACCCGGCCGCCGCCCCGGGCCAGAGTCTGCGGGCGCAGCTCCGGGGTTTGCGGGCCTGCGCAGGAGCCGGAATCGCGGCGAGCACAAAGCCCGGAGCCGGCCAGCGAGCGGCTCTCCCCGCGGCCCGCTCCTACCCTCCCCCAGCCGGGCGGCGCAGCCGGAGCCCGTGCCAGGCGGAGGCAGGCGAGGCGGCGTTCCGCACCCCGCCAGGGTCTCCGGCACCCGCGCGCCCGCGTGGAGGCCGCCGAGGCCGGCGCTTTTGTTGTCGGCCCCAACTCCGCGGACCCAGCGCCGCCCGGGGAGAAGTTTTGTGCGCCTCACCTATCCCGCCAGGGCAGGTCCCTTCCGCCCGCCCTCGTCCCCCGCGGCTCAGACACCGAGCCTGGGACTCGCAGCCACGCTGGGCCCGGACGCTCCAGCCGGCCCCGAAGGTCCGGCGACCCCGGCAGCACCTGAGCCCGGGACCCGCCCCTCCAGGCTGGCGGCCCCGGCCTGGGGATCCGCACACAGCCCCTCCCCCGCAACGTCCTACAGAACGGTGGGGGAGGGGGGCCGCCTCCTCTCCGATCCCCCGGGCGCCAGGCCCGGTCCCCGGGCCGGAGCTGGGTCGCGTCCCCGCCCCCAATGCCCTCCAAGAGCCAGGAGAGAACGGCTGGGCCCGGCCGGGACCGGAGCCTCGAGGTACCCACCCTCGCAGGCCCGGACCCCTTCGGCCGTGCGGCCGCTGGCCCGGGAGGAGGAGAAGAGGGACCGAGCAGCGGCTGTCTGCGATCGCGGCCGAGCCCGGCGCCCCGCCGCCCGCCTGCTCACCTGCCAGCTGTCTTCGCAGTAGCAGTGCCGACTGCAGCTCCGTCATCCTCCCCGCCGACGGCCCGGGCTGGCGCCGGGGCTTCCGAAGGGCTGGGGACAGGCTCTGGGGGCGGCTGGAGCGGGGTGTGCCGAGGAACCCGGGCCCCGCGACCGGAGCGCCGGAGCCGAGGGAGGCCGGGCTGAGGCGGCGGGAGCGGCGCCTCGCTGCCGGTGCGAGTCCGCTCGCTTCAGCTCTTTTCACAGCGACTCACGCCCGGAAGGGGAGGGTGCCCGAGCTGCCGCGGCGCGCACTGGGACTTCGCTCGCCCGCTTCCCTCCTTCAACCCGCCCGTCGGCCCCACCGGTGCCTTCCCCCGCCACAGCCTCACTGCGCGCAGGGCCGCTGGGCGCAGGCGCGCTGAGACAGCCGACTTGGGAAGCCTCCCGCCCGCTAGCCCGACCCCTCGGCCTCCCGCCCCGCCCCCGGCGGCGGAACCCCGCCCCCTGAGCGCAGTTGTCCCTGTCGCCGCCATTTTGGGAAGGTCGACGCCCGGCTGCCAGCCCAGGTCTCCGCTGGTAGACGCCCCGCGGACGCCATGACAAAGAGGTCGCGGAGGGTCAAATACAGCATCTGGATTGAAGCAGTGGATATGGGAGCGAAGGGGCCAAAAGAAGTGTTAGATGTCTTGTCGTTGGCGAGCGCCCAAAAGCCATCTAACACTGCCACATGGTGTGCGAATTAGGAATTGTTAGAAAGCCGAAGTTAGTACTGGTGTGCCCCATTTTAACCAAACACCAAAATAGCGGCAATATATGCTGATAATTCTCTTTATATAAAGAGTGCACAAAAAGATTTTTTTTTTTATACCAAATCTCGCTTTGTCGCCCAGGCTGCAGTACAGTGGCGCGATCTCGGCTCACTGCAACCTCCGCCTCCCGGGTTCAAGTGATTCTTCTGCCTCCGCCTCCTGAGTAGCTGGAATTAGAGGCGCCCGCCACCACGCCCGGCAAATTTTCGTATTTTTAGTAGAGACGGGGTTTCACCCTATTGGCCAGGCTGGGCTCAAACTCCTGGCCTCAAGTGATCCACCCGCCTCAGCCTCCCAAAAGTGCTGGGATTATAGGCATAAGCCACCGCGACCGGCCCTATTATTATTGAGCCCCTGCAACCGGCCGTGTTATTATTATTATTTATGGACAGCAATTCTCTCTGTCGCCCAGGCTGGAATGCAGTGATCATAGCTCTCTGCAGCTTGGAACTCCTGGGCTTAAGGGATCCTCCCATCTGAGTCTCCTTAGCATCTGGGATTACAGGTACACACCACCATGCCCTGCTATTTTTTTATTTCCTTTATAGAGATGGGGGGTTTCGGCGGGGCGGGGTGGCTCACACCTGTAATCCCAGCACTTTGAGAGGCCGAGGCGGGTAGATCACCTGAGGTCACGAGTTCGAGATCAGCCTGGCCAACATGGTGAAACCCCGTCTCTACTAAAAATACAAAAATTAGCCCAGCCTGGTGGCAGGCGCCTATACTCCCAGCTACCTGGGAGGCTGAGACAGGAGAATTGCTTGAACCCGGAGACAGAGGTTGCAGTGAGCCGAGATGGTGCCACTGCACTCCAGCCTGGCTGACAGAGAGAGACTCCATCTCAAAAAAAAAAAAAAAAAAAAAGAGAGAGAGAGACAGGGGTCTCTCTGTGTTGCCCAGGCTAGTCTCAAACTCCTGGGCTCAAGCAGTCCTTCCAACTCAGCCTCCCAAAGTGTTAGGATTACAGATGTGAACCACTGCCTCCCTATCAAATAGACCAAACAGACAATTTTGATGTTTCACTTTAACAAATCAAGGAAATTTCCTTCTATTCCTCCCTTCTGTCGCCCAGGCTGGAGTGCAGGCTCACTGCAACCTCCGCCTCCTGGGTTCCCTGGTTAAAGCAATTCTCCTGCCTCAGACTCCTGAGTAGCTGGGACCACAGGTGCATGCCTCAAGGCTAGGCTAATTTTCTTTCGTATTTTAGTGGAGATGGGGTTTACCATGTTGCCCAGTTTTACTCTGTTTCAAAACAAAACAAAACAAAACACACTTTTTTGGAGATAGGGTCTTGCTCTGTCACCCAGGCTGGTCTCGAACTCCTGAGCTCAGGCAATCCGCTTTCCTCGGCCTCCCAAAGTGCTAGGATTATAAGCGAGAGCCACTGCGCCTGGCCTATTCCTAGTTTCTTAAGATTTATTTTTTGTAATAATCTCCAAATCTGGTGAAAGATGAGGGTTGGATACAGGATTGGAAATTGAACCTAATCCTCAAACAGTGGGAGGCCCCTGAAGAGTTTTAACTAGGAGTAGAAAAATAGCAGACTTGCATTTTGAATGTTTTGCTGTGGCTGCAGAGAATACATGAGGCAGGGAAGGTCAAGACCAGTGCCCTGCAGGCTGTGGTGGCTCATGTCTGTAATCCCAGTTCTTTGGGAACTCCATGCAGGAGGATCACTTGAGGCCAGGAGTTGGAGACCAGCCTGGGCGACAGAGCAAGACCCTATCTACAAAAAAGTGTGTTTTGTTTTGTTTTGAAACAGTCTTCCTTTGTCACCCAGGCTGGAGTACAGTGGCACGATCTCAGCTCACTGCAACCTCTGCCTCCCAGGTTCAAGTGATTCTCATGCCTCAGCCTCCTGAGTGGCAGGGATTACAGGCCTGTGCCACCAGGCCTGGCGAATTTTTGTATTTTTAGTAGAGACAGGGTTTCACCATCTTGGCCAGGCTGGTCTTGAACTCCTGGGCTCAAGTGATCCACCCGCCTCAGCCTCCTCAAGTAGTGGAATTACAGGCAAGAGACACTGTGCCCAGCCCAAAATGTTTTTTTTAAAATAAAAATTTTAAAAGGCCAATGGCCTGGAGACCCTTATGGAGATTGTGGCAGTAACTAAGGCTTGGATTAAGGAGTGTCCATAAAAATATTTAGGCCTTGGTGGCCAGGCGAAGTGGCTCACGTCTGTAATCTCAGCACTTTGGGAGGCCGAGGCCGGCAGATCACCTGAGGTCAGGAGTTTGAGACCAGCCTGACCAACATGGAGAAACCCCATCTCTATTAAAAATACAAAATTAGGGCCTAGCACAGTGGTTGACTCCTGTAATCCCAGCACTTTGGGAGGCCAAGGCGGGTGGATCACGCAGTCAGGAGTTCAACACCAGCCTGGCCAACATAATGAAACCCCATCTCTACTAAAAATACAAAAATTATCTGGGTGTGGTGGCCACCTAATAGTAGTCCCAGCTGCTTGGGAGACTGAGGCAAAAGAATCGCTTGAACCCAGAAGACGGAGGTTGCAATGAGCCGAGATCGCACCACTGCACTCCAGCCTGGGAGACAGAGTGAGACTCCATCTCAAAAAAAAAAAAAAAAAAAAAGCAAAATTAGCCAGGCGTGGTGGTACAGGCCTGTAATCCCAGCTACTTGGGAGATTGAGGCAGGAGAATCACTTGAACCTGGGAAGGGGAGGTTGCTGTGAGCTGAGATCGCGCCTCTGCACTCCAGCCTGGGCAACAAGAGTGAAACTCCATCTCAAAAAAAAAAAAAAAAAAAATACAAGGAATATATAGGCCTTGGTGATCTATTGGATATAGGAAAGAGTGGGGACCACCATGGGTGACTGGGTGCCATTGGTATGACAGACCAAGTCCGGGGAGTGGGTGTCACTTCGTTGGTTAGGCTGGTCTCAAACTCCTGGCCTCAAGCGATCCTCCTGCCTTGGCCTCCCAGTGTGCTGGGATTACACGCGTGAGTCACTGCACCTGGGCCCTATCGCTTTTGAGGTTAATGACATCCAGCTGCAGCACTTGCCACTCCCCTTTGGTCCTGTGACCTGCAAACCCATTCATCACGGACTTCTCCTCCTGCCTCAGAGTCCTTCTCTTTATTCTACTCCAGCCCTCCAACTTGGGGACCTAATTACCCACGTGAATGACCCATCCAGTACCCCTCCCTGTCATTCACTTAACTTCTCTCCTTCCCTTCCCACCAGCTGGCCTCTCCATGTTCCCGTGGGACAGTCTCGCCAACCAAAATTCCACCACTCCCCAATACTTCGTTTCAAGTCATGCACCCTGACCACCATTCCGTATCCTTTCAGCTTACCTGCTTTAGTGTTCACACCACGCAGCTCTTCCACCTCAACAAGACCCCGCTCTCTGTACCACTTTTTTTTTTTTCTTTTTAAAACAGAGTCTCACTTTGTCGCCCAGGCTGGAGCGCAGTGGCACGATCTCTGCTCACTGCAACCTCCACCTCCCAGCTTCGAGGGATTCTCCTGCCTCAGCCTCCTGAGTAGCTGGGACTATAGGCACGTGCCACCACGCCTGGCTAATTTTTTTTTTGTATTATTGTTAGAGATGGAGTTTCACCGTGTTAGCCAGGATGGTCTCAACCTCCTGATCTCGTGATCTGCCCACCTCGGCCTCCCAAATTGCTGGGATTAGAGGCGTGAGTCACCACGTCCGGCCCTGTGTACCACTTTTTTACTATCCACCATTTCCTTCCTGTTCTCTCTTCCTTCTCTTCTGAGCTTAGAGAATAGTCCATTACTACAAGCCTTCTCTCCATACACCCTCAACAAACTTGGCTGTTTGTCTCCCTCTCTCTTCATTTTAGTGCCTGACTGATCCTCAAGCCTGATTGAACCCCTGCACACCCAACTGTCTAACTGTATTGCTTTATTTAACAAACATTTACTGAGCAACTACTGTGAGCTAGACACAATCCTAGGACTTGAGGTCTAGGTGTAAACTACACTGACCAGGTTCCTACTCTTATGACACTAACATCTAATGGGCCAGAACAGTCAAAAAATAAACAACAGCCAGGCGCGGTGGCTCACGCCTATAATCCCAGCACTTTGGCAGGCCGAGGCAGGCGGATCACCTGAGGTCAGGAGTTTGAGACCAACCTGGCCAACATGGAGAAACCGCGTCTCTATTAAAAATGTAAAAATTAGCCCAGCACGGTGGCAAACGCCTTTAATTCCAGCTACTTGGGAGGCTGAGGCACGAGAATCGCTTGAACCCGGGAGGTGGAGTTTGCAGTGAGCTGAGATCAGAGTGAGACTCCATCTCAAAAAAAAAAAAAAAAAAAAAAAAAAGGAGACAACTATTAAGGACTACATTTGTCCAGGCCTGGTAGCTCATAACTGTGGTCCCAACACTTAGGGAGGTTGAGGCAGGCAGATCTCTTGAGCCCAGGCAGGAGTTCGAAACCAACCTGAGCAACAAGGTAAGGCCCCATCTCTACAAAAAAGTTTAAAAACTGGCTGGGCACAGTGGCTCACGCCTGTAATCTCAGCACTTCAGGAGGCCGAGGCAGGTGAATCACCTTAGATCAGGAGTTCAAGACCAACCTGGCCAAATGGTGAAACCCCGTCTCTACTAAAAATAAAAAAATTAGC